GCCCAATCATTTGCATCCCAGTTTTGATGTTCTTGACACCACTCTAATCTTCTACCGCGATTGCCTCTCGACAAAGGTGGACATCTAAGTGGCCTTCTGTTGTGGAGATCTGCTTCATGCAGTCGATTTCTGACAGTATCACGACCAATGGTTACCTGGTGCGTCTGCTGCAACACGTTAACCAACTCAGGTGCTGTGATTGTCGGTTGTCTTCTGTTTCAAATCTGTTTTTCCGTTAATCAGCTGTCGCCCCCATACGAACGACAACTCTCAAAAGTTGAGAACTTGTGCGAGCTAAGGACTAACGAGGTCTTACCTTTTAACGTGTGATTTCTAACACGGTTGCAGAATCATTCCAACTTCAACCAGATAAATTCTCTCGAGAAAAATATCTGGTCGAGGCGGGAATCGAACTCACGATCTTCCGATCGTGAGTCGGGCGCACTACCAACGCGGCCAATTCCACAACAAGAATTCCCAATTCTTGCGGTTAAGACCAAAAATCGGTCTTGAACTGCAGTTGTAGCGCGTCCTCGCCCTGGATGTTGTTCGGCTGGACTGCCAGTTTCACGGAACCGCCGCCACAATCGACTGATAACACTTTGGGAGACCCCCAAACCAAGAGCTACATCATTTTGTCGCATGCCACCTTGAAGAAGCCCTACAGGGTGGTCGAGTGTACCAATTTAATCGAAATTAAACGACCTCATGCATTTATTTTTATGATATTTAGTATGTTATAAAAATATCCCTAGACTTTTCCGATGTGTGTTCTTTATCTTATACAACAGTAATTACTGTGGTTGATTGTATAAGATACATATGTAATTGTTGCATCCTGCTAAAATTGGTGGCAACGTATGATAGTTTTCTCCTAATTCTTCACAGCGTACTCAACTGAAAATGTGTGCTCGCACCTACAGTAATATACGAAACGTAACTCTCTCTCTCTTTCCATCTTTACTAACTTATACCTCCTTCTCAACTTCCGTTTGCCACGCCCGATTACACTTTTCGTAACGCTCTCGTCACGCATTCACCAGCCTACTACCTAAGTCAAGCGTGCATATAGAAGTTTCACTTCAATAACATTACCATTTTCGCATTTTGATTTCAAAGAACAAGTATATATTAATAGAAAACGCAGCCATCCATCCATTTTTGGCGTCTTTTTACTTTTTAGAGTAGTGTAGATTACCTATCCCATTCACCAGCAATTTTCCTTTAATTTTGACTATATATAAAAAATAAGTTGGATATTTAATGAATACTTGTGTTCCAAAAGCAAGTTTTTAACATAGAGAATGGATTCATAAGCCACCAAACCTTATACCTCCTCAACTTCCGTTTGCCACGCCCGATTACACTTTTCGTAACGCTCTCGCATTACGCATTCACCAGCTTATTACTACCCAAGTCAAGCGCGCGTATAGAATTTTTACTTCAATAACATTACCATTTTCCCATTTTGATTTCAAAGAACAAGTATATATGAATAAAAAACGCATCCATCCATCCATTTTGGCGTCTTTTTACTTTTTAGAGTAGTGTAGATCACCCCTATAATACAACGTTAGACATAACACCGGAACCTTTCCTATTCACCAGCAATTTTCCTTTAATTTTGACTATATATAAAAAATAAGTTCGATATTTAATGAATACTTGTGTTCCAAAAGCAAGTTTTTAACATAGAGAATGGATTCATGAGCTACCAAACCTAGAAATTATAAATAATGTATTTGCTACATTTCGTGGATTATTTTAAATTTGGCGCCGAATAGAAGCTACGAATCTCGGATATGACGACATTTCGAATAACCGCCAAATCCAATGGATAGAGAGGTGGGGGCCTGAAAAGTAATAAATTTGTAGTTTGGAGCGGTTTTTATTAACGATCGTCCAATGCAGTGCTGCAAATGTACCGGTTTCGCCGTAAATTTACCGTTTTGAGATTATTACTCTAACAATTTGAACATGATTTCTAGCGCTAAAACTTAATTCCCACAACTTGACAAATACATTGTAAGAATGAATGCTCGAAGTTGGATATTGATTCCCAACTATTCGAGAGGACTACGGACATTTAAATCTATTGTTGAAATCGACGTTTGAACTTAGGGAAACATTTATTATTACCTTGAGAAATCGTAGTTGAAAACATTAAACTGATATAATAGATTATTTATCAGTATTCGTTTACACAAATGTGAAAGTAAACTTTTTATGATTAATTGGAGAAATAGGTGACCTTACATGAACGTTTTCTTTCATTTTTTTGTTAAAACTTCGATTTGTCTAAAAGTTCGTTTTGAGAAAGTACTATTGTTAGTATTCAATATACAATCTGATGAATGATAAGGTTGATTTTACAATTTTTTATACACTAAAATTGTCATAAAAAGTTCATAATTTTCCTTGAATTTCACCAAAAAAAACTACAGTGTTATTTTCAAATCTATCATATTATTTTCGAATATATACAATTTTTTCAGTGAGACTAACACAAAAGAGTAATGAATCATAACTCAATCTTTTACATTTACCTTTAAATCAATATATAGGAGCGTTCATATACCACACTTTCAAGTTTGATTGATTTACAATGTGTCAACTTTCCTTGTGTAGAAGATAAAGAATTTCGTGAATGAATGAGGGATAATTGACCAAGGATTGTTTTTATTACTTTTGTTGATCAAAAGGTAGAAATTTCAAGTACTTTTTATTATTATTCGTGAAAAGGTTGTAGTATGAATGTTCAGATGATAACCACGAGTAGCTCTAGTATTTAGGAAGTTAATCTAATTCAACATCAAATCGAGTTCATTTCTTCATCGAGGCTATTTTCGTATTTCATTTGAAAGAATAAAAGTGCGTGTTCCGTATTCTTCTGTAATCTACTACTCCTTTCAACATTTTTGATTTGGCAGCATTGCGTCTACGGCGTTACGACTGTTACGAGGCAACCAACACATCAATAAAATTCGTTCGTTGGAAGTCGCAGTTCATTTCCTGTTTTATTTCTTCCACTTACCGTTGAGCTGTGAGTAGGTATTGTTCATTGTCCGTGGTGCTTGTGAAATACTTTTGTAACAATGGCGGATGGTAAGTATCTTGAATTATATTTGACATCTGAATAATTTTTTTAAAATTCCAATTTTATTTTGGTTTATTGGAGTCCGTTCTTGATCTTTTTTAATAGATATATTAGAACAATCATTTATTCATCCTGAAATGTTAATTTTCTTTTCGTTTTAGGCTACGGTTCCGGGGGCTACTCTGGTGGGGCGGATTATTCTCAGCCTCCACCGGCTACTTCTTACCCAAGCTACGGTTCCCAAGGTGCTGGGGGGTATCAAACTGGCGGAGCTCCCCAGGGAGGTAGTTCAAGTGGAGGCTCTTGGGGCCAAAATAGAGGAAACCAAGGTGGCGGTTACGGAGGTGGAGGTAAGCTTTGAAGATCATTTGTAACTTTCGAAATGAAATAAGGAAAAAGAAAATGGCTCCCTCGCTGAGCGTCGAATTATTTTCAAAATGCCGGGTCGCTTATATTTAGTTTAACCTGCCAAAAATTGTGAAAATATTTTCAAACAATGACATGGAAAGTAGGAAATGATGAAGAAAACAAAAAACTTTCCATATCTTTACAAAAAAATGTTTAATCATTTCCTCGAGGATTATATACCTACCTATCAATCTAAAGTCAAAAAGTTTTTTCTTGAGAATTCTATTTCAGAAAGTAAACCTGTTAATGCAAAATTCTAAAATTCTTTTCTCTATCGCGTACTGCGGACCTCTATTCACTTTCCATTTCATCTTTTCGCTACTAAACTTTTAATTTCTTCAATATTATCTCTTTCGAAAAGCTACATCATCATTATTTATTAAATATGAAGTGGTTGAAATTTCACATCTCATTATGTATGATTGAACACTGGTTCTTAAATATCACCTGTTCATTCCACTTATTTTCAATGCTTAACACATTCGCTACGTAAAATAATGAAGGCCTTCACCTCTGCGCGGGACATGAGGTTCTTGGGGATGTATGTGTTTTTTAATGTTTTTTGTGAAAACTAACAATCAGTTATGCGAAAATCAGATTCTTGACGCCTAATGGCGTCCTACGCATATTAGCATTTTCAAGGATATATGCCAATGAAGGCGTGTGGCGTCATCTGCATATATCTTGGTTTATCTGGACAAGTCTTACCACAGTTTTCCGGATTTATTTCTGGAAACAAAAACAACATCTTTTTCTTGATGTGCTCTTTGTGGCATCAACCACTTAGATTTTACTTATACTATTCTACATGGTATATCAGACAATATACTATCCTACATGATATATCAGACAATAGATTATCAATCACAGCTGAACTGCCATCATAGAATGTCATTTTTATGCCAGAGTACTTACAAAATATAAGAATTGAACAAAAGAAACTTCAGGATATGAACAGCAAGTTTTTATTACCACAATAATGTTTTTCTTCAAGATCGGTAGTAGGACAGCATCTTGTCCTGGCGATCTATTCCGCACATATTATATATGTTGCTTATTTGTGATGTACAGTCTACTTCGCCCCAAAACCATAGATTCATTCAGAGAGAGTGGTTCTTTTCAGGATAATGAAGTTTCTTCATTTTATTATTGAAATAATTAATAACGGCCTAGTTTTGGTTCTGGATTCCTAAAAAAAAAAGTTTATTCCGGCCCATGTAAACCGCAAAACATTTGAAATTGAATAGCCGACTGGTCCTCCAGTAGTCTTGAAGATTTAGATCTTTCCATTTAGTTATCCTTGACCTTTTATTACTGTCCCTTGACAAAAACAAGTTTTTTGCATATTTATTTGTTTTTGTTATGTTTTTGAAAAACCAGTTATCAACAAAAGTAAGAAGGCTCAGGGTGTGAAGTGTACTCCAGATCACTAAGCCTAAGAATTAAGTGGGAATGGGATGAAATACCAGGGTGGTCCAAACAGAACTGGCTGGTATCTCAATCGCCACAAAAGAAATAACCAGGAAAGGAATTTCTGGCGAAAATATAACAATTTGCACTGACAGCAGACAAGCCCTATTAGCCTTGAACAGACAACATACAACCTCAGGGCTGGTACTAGAGTGTCACCAAGATTTAGCCAAAGCCTCGGTAGATAATAAAATTATCCTGAGGTGGGTTAAAGGGCACGACAAGAGTAAAGGTAATCGCATTGCTGACTCTTTAGCCAAGGAAGCGGCTGGACTAAGAATTTTAGGACCCAGTGGCACTTACGGCCTGATGACTTCGACAATTGCGGAACTAGTCAAATGTTACACCCATGCTCAATCCTTAAGGAGATGGGATGGAATCAAAGGATGCAATCTTGCCAGGATCATCTTGGGCGATCCTGGAAAGCTGGTGCTCAAGAAATATCTGGCAATGACCAGGAAAAATCTAGGCTTAACAGAAGGATTTCTGACTGGCCACTGTCAACTAAGGAAACACCTCCACAATATGGGGCTAGTGGACACACTAGCAGGATGTGTGAAGAGGAAGATGAGACTGTCAGGCATGTCCTGTGCGAGTGCCCGGAGTTATTGTCAATAAGAGAGTGTGTGTTCGGCGAGTCTTGGCCTACACCTGCCGATACAAAGGAGTACACACCCAGTGACCTGTCCACCTTCCTGGAAAGGACAGGATGGACGATGACCTAGGAGGACAACTCCTTGGGTACAATGTACAATGGGTTACATGTGGCCTAAGTGCTGTGGGCTTACGCTTATGCTCCCTGATCTACAGATCAGGCATAGAATTATCAGGTTACAAAGAAAGGCAATTAGAATTATAGATAGAGTTTATTATAAAGGTGATTGTAGAACATTTTTTATAACACTTGAGTATTTTAACATTCCCATCATTATACATATTAGAAAATTTACTCTATATAAAATCGCATATACCTCAATATGAATCATTTGAAAATAGACACGAATACGACACTAGAAATAAAAAAGATATTATCTTTAATACATGTCGCCTTAAAAAAGGCCAAAATGGACTGAAGTACTGGGCTGTGAAATTTTATAATAAACTTCACGAGGAAACAAAAAATTAACTACTAGCGAATTCAAACGTAAAATAAAAGAGTTTTTAGTATCTAAAGCTTACTACAGTATAGATGAATTTTTACAGGATGACCTTATATTATATTGTATTCACCTTTAAATGCAGTTTCGTGAAATTATTTAATATTGTTTTAGTGTGTAATTTTAATATAATGTTAATAAGCTTATTTTATGTTGTATCTTTGTTTGACTTGTGTGAATACTGTAAGTATATTAACACCAATAAAGTATCTATCTATCTATGATATCAACAAAAGTCTGAAATAATCGTACGGTTTGGCCCCTGTCGGAAGATCAACAAGCATTCAATTGGTTTCAGTAAATGGAAAATATTTCAAACCTGAACAAATATTTTGCCAACATTCTTTTGTTAGTATTATTCTGTCCTATTATCTAAGACAAACAGAAAACATCTATATAAAGTAAATAAAACAATAAAAAACAAACTAAATGAATTACTATCATTTCCACTTTTTGAATCCAGAGTTTTTGGTAGCATGGTCAACATGGTTTTAGGAAGAATAGCAATACCCAACAGTTCACTTAATTACGAACATGATGGATAAATTACAATTATTTCTCATGGACATAACACTTATGTACATAATTCAAATATGTACTCACATAAATAACAGCCAGTTATGTATTACACATCAAAACGTCAAATTCTACAACCTAATTACCTGATAATCTAAGATTTTTGGGAGTCCTGCCTTTCGAAAAGAGATTGAAGAATTCAATATTCAGTGGTTTCTTTCACAAATAGCATAGTATTAACAATCCTATGAGATTGATGCTGTGATATAGAGTTTTTGTCTCTTTTTATTTGTATTTTCTGAATTATTTTAATGTTACAGCCTATATAACTTCCTTGAACTCAAGGCATAAAAACCTCATATATACACTCTTTGATTCATATATTTTCAAACATACATGTAATTTGTGTATTGAATAAATTTTGGCAATAATAACAATGAAGAAAAGAGAATTGAAACTTGTTTAACCACTTTTATTTGTAACTATGCAGTTTCTTCCTGTAAGGAGATTTTTAAACTTGAACATTTAACAATGTTTAAGTTTGAAAATGTCCTTATAGGACGAAACCGCAGTAACGTCAGTTACAAATAAAAGTGGTAAAAAACATGAAAGTTTCAATTCTCTTTTCTCTACATCCATCAATAATAACAAGTTGCTAATAGTGTACACTAGATTTGGAGAAGCCAATATATTTGGGAGGTGGATATATGTAAAGATGAACTACTTACTCTCTGTATAGAACATTTCTTAAAGCTTTTGCCGTGATTGGTTAACTGAATACTTGGGAGATAAATTAATTTACTTACGAATATTTTTTTACATATGTATTTCAGTGTGTATTTCATTACATTCTGGCAAAAAAGGATGCCCTTTCAATATCTTTACTACCAGAAATTGGACACTTTTCTTGTTTATTATACACACAAAAAACCATTGGGAATTCTGCTCAAATCCACTAATGCACTAATTCACGTCAGTTCTAAATATCATTGTTTTGTAGGGGTTGTAGGTGGGTACATATTAGTGGAGTACAAATTATAAGAGGGGCGGATGAAACTTATATTAACACTTATAATATCTGAACAGGTTAAAGGGCAACTGTTATCAGGATCCGACATAGGCATGGATGTAAACTATTTTTGTGGTTTATCTCCTCCTTCTATGTCGTATAATAATGCAGCGAATGATAGTCCTTCCATTTTTTCAATAAGTGAAAGGGTAGAACTTCTGCTGAACATTTCATTAGTTCTATAACATATATGTTGCTAACTAGCCATCAATACCAGCTCAACTGTGTTCTATAATATTTGTTAATTTCCGTCAGCTCATCTGATTTAAGTATGTTTTTTTTTTTCAGGTGGCTACCAATCTGGAGGTAGTGGATATGGTGGTGGAGGAGGTGGTGGAGGCTATGGAAATGGGGGAGGCTATGGTGGTAACTCTGGTGGTTATGGAAGTGGCGGCGGCGGTGGATATGGAGGTATTTATATAACTATAATATTGAAGTTATTCAGGTTTGTGTGTATTACAAAAAAACAAATTGATGAAAGCTCAAATGGAATACACTCTACTATATACTTCGCTAAGTGTAAAAAATATCAAAAGTGAAAATAAATTATATAACATGTACAAAACATTCAAGAAATTAGTAATAGATATATAAAAATAAACAACATACATATAAATATATAAACACAAACTTAAATAAATGTGAACACAATCATGAACTCATTATATCCCACCCTCAATCAATGATGCATTAGGACATAACTGTTAATTGAAAATATTTGATAATTAAAAAAAAAAGCTGTCAACTTGTTATTCTACAACTTTACGTCCTTGCAATTTAAACTAAAAACTAAACTATAAACTCTCTCAACTCTCTAGAGAGTAAATACATAATTTTTATTGTACACCACAAATTCATTTACCATCTTGTTTAACAAAATTATTTAATATTTTGCTTTCCTAATTTTTTGCTTCATTATTTCTTTTTTGCGTTCAAATTACATTTTCAATTTTTTATTCTCATCTTGAACTAATTTTTTTCATTTGATATATTTGCTTCAGGTAGTAGCTTTATTTGTGAGTAACTAAACACTTTGAAAAGGAGGTACACTAAGTACATTCTACAGGTTTTGTTTCTACATCTACATCTTTGTGTCTATAGTAGTACAGATGTCTGATAGGGTATTTGAACTTCCATTTTCCAAGTCTTGATATATCAACCACCACTGATGCATACATTCGCGATAATTAATGCATAATTAAACTTATATCATCACACCTCACATAATGGTTGTCATTCACAAACAGCATTGCCGTATCTAATATAGCTTTATGTCTAAAATTTGAGCTGGGCAATGATGTGACAATGATTTAATGTTTCTCTTTTTCGTTTTTAACTGCCGCATGACATTTTGCACAGCTGATGGCCAAGTGGTATAATTTTCCTGTTATTGGATCCGCTGGTGTACAAAAGGAACTGAATAATTACATAAATTGAGAAACGGTTCATGTTACGTCCATTTTCCTGTGTCTAGGTGTTCGACATACAAATAAACGTGTTTACCAACTTTATCCACTTGTGGTGCTATAATATTCATTAATATGAGATCACACAATAATGGGATATCGATAATGAATTATGATGTAACTATTTTTTGCACTATATAGCTATTTCTTTCAGGTGGCCGTGATAGGGGCAGTGGCGGTGGAAGGGAATTAGATCGCAGAGATAGTTATGGGTGAGTTAATTCGATTATTATTCTCAAAAAATGTTACAAGAGGTGCTGAGTCAGGCTTGTGAATACTATTGTGATTTCAACAAGATGGTCTAAGAAACATCCTTTTCACATTGTTTAAAAGAAGGTATTGGTTTGAATATCTAGTTGTGAATTTGCAAATTTCTTGCATAAATGGTGGTATATCACATTCTAAGACATTTATGTATTTTTATTCTGTTGGGTTAAATTTTCATAAGGTGTGTGAATAATATGGGTAATGAAATTCCAAAATGAGGTTTTATTAAAGGTTTGAATTCACTAAATCAGAGTTGATGTACAAAGGGTGTTACTTTGGTGGTTTTTAATTTGAATACCTTGGTTGTACATCACAAACATTGTCGTTTGAAAAGGTTTTGTACAGGACTAGTAGGTTCCATATAAAAGGACTTGAGATGAAATCCCTGAGGCAAGTTAGGAGTGGGTTCTTTACATCGTGATTGAATGAAAAAACAAAATTTGTAATATTGTATCTGTCTAAGGTTTCACATGAACTGGGTTTATATTGGTGAAGTACCTAATTTACGTAAAATTTCTGTTGATGCCCTCTAAGGTATATATTTTTAAGTGGTAATGACTCTTATCACAAACGTTATATTGAGTGTAACTGAGGAAAAAAATAATTATAATTTGAAATACATTTCACAGTCTAAGTTGGCAAGGTACTCTTTTTTTTAGAAAGGGTATACAGAATTAGAAAACACATTGGAATAATACATTTTAATTGACAATTACCTAAATAACATATTTTATTCATTTTGGACATTTATCTTTCTCAAGCACTGAAAGAGAAAAGTATGTCTACAGAAAATCAAAATTAGGGTTCTCATTCAATACATAACAATACACAATGATCCTTTAATGCAAAATCTGATTCATTTTGAATGAACAGAGATTGGATAATAACATTGCCACCCTCTTAACCATCTTCACTTAAAGTGGCACTTTAGCTATGTAGTTGACAGATATTTACTTGATTTTACATTTAAATAAACGAAAGGAATGTTCTTCCAATAAAACTATGGTGAAATCAATAATCACTGTATTTTTGGGCTTTACGTTAACAAAAAATTACGATCTGATAAATCAGCATTTTCTTACATAACTGATTTCATAATGTGTAGATGATTGTGTAATTAATTGGAATAAAGACATTTTTGTAGTGTATCATATCTGTTGATAAAAATTTTATGTAAAAATTCTGACTTCTCTAACATTAGTGAAACTCTAAGAACTAGGGACATCAGGATATATTTGATGGGGTTTAATTTTTACATTCATTATTGTGCCATAGTTTTTGGTTGATGTTTATTTTGATGGCTTTCACATACTGTTTTTCCAGTAACTGATTCTAATGATTTTCTGCTAGTAGGTATATTGATATCAAAACTTAAAAAAGGTAATAGGGAAGAACCAATTCCCTGTCTTCTTTAACAAATTGACAATCTACAGTAGAACTGGACCATAGTAGAGTTAACCACTATACAAGTGAACTGACTTCCTAGGAGAAGAGATGTTTTTGACACAGGTTATCAAATCTTCGGACTTGTTGGTTGAACAGCGTTTATCCGTTCCACCCACCCATTTCGAACTGCTACTGATGATGAATTTCTGTTTTAGAGGCGGAGGCAGGGGTGGTGGTGGTGGTTATAATAAAGGTAAAAGCACCCAGTCTTATAGACAATGGTGCATTTTTGTACATCTTTTTAATTATGGTTATTATTTTTGTTAGAAAGAGCTGGATTTGTAGATACACAATAATTTGCTTCTGATTAATTAATAGGTCTGATAAATATTTCAATTTTTTGGATTGCAGTTGGTGTATATTTTGTTATTTGTTTAGATCCGCGATATGAGCAAAAACCAAATAATTGAAATTATTTAAAATCTTGTCCAAATTGAAAAATTAGTTTATATAATTATAATAATTGGTGTTCATTCAGTAAAATGAAAGTTTCCATGACAAAACAGCTCTTTCTTACACATTTTCGATAGTAGGATTTTGTGAATTTGTAACATACAGATGAAAGGAATGTGAAAAAATATGAGGTGGGACAATAAAAATATGTCTTGTTGACAACCAAAATTGTCTTGTAGACAACCAAAAAAATTTCTTAACAGGTGTAAATCTCATCAAATTACAACAGCCTTGAATCGAACATACGAGTTGATATTCTCAGGTTGGATGTGTTTTCCCCAGACCTTTATTGTCTTGCCTCCTATGGTTTTGGTGTTAAAATATATGGAGGCAATAAGATTTCAAACAATATTTGGGGTTGACTACATTTCATTCCATTTCTGGTATCACACATTGAGGTTTTAAGGTTCAATATATCATATTCTAGTGTTTAGAAAGGTTTACCAAAATGAATTCTGAAATTGTGCAAAATAGTGTATATTTTTAGCATATGAATGAAGCCGAGGACAATGTATCCAAACTTTCTGTAGTCTTGGTATAATTCTTCAATTGTCTAAAAACTGCCAGATGCCAATTTTTTGGAGTTGCAATTTTATCGAAAGGCAAGTCGTCGGCAAATTTTCAATGGAAATTTAGAAAATTGGATGCCTTATTGTTAAAATGCGAAAACCAGATTAACTTTAAGGTGGTTTTGGTAATATTTTATTTTTATTAAATGACATTCTGCAGGCAAGAGTTTAAATTTGGAGTGGATTGATTTTTCACAAGTTTATAGAGTACAAATAATAGTTGGAGCAAGCGGACGTGAGACCAAGTTACTGTAGTTTGCTGTAATTGTGTGAATAAATAAACTGACATTTTTAAGTGGTGTTGACTGGAAATTGAACTATTTAGACGAGCAATTCTTCAATCTGGATCTTTTAATTCATAACTTTGGTGATGAGTAGTTGATAATATTTTGGAATTGATCATTCCAAACTCGCTCTTATTGATAATAATTTTGTCTACTAATTTAGTTTTTAAATATTTATTGTTTGTCCTATGTGTTCTTCGTCCACAATGCTGCGATCACAAGTCAATATTACTATTATAACTTGTTTCTGGAATAATACCACATTATCTTTGGTTGAGCCATACTTGTTGAACTACCATTTTTTACTAAAAAAGGTAACTTTATCATTTACTAGTAGACACTTATCCTGTCGAAAAATTCATGAGGCTAGAATAATAATTACTTCATTACTACTCGTCCAACTTTATAGAAACTTCCAAAGAAAGGATGAAAGTGTAAGTTTAAAATTAACTACTTACAAAGATGTGCAGATGATGCACAGAAGTTTCTTCCAGATAGAAACCGAAAAAAACTCCTACTCAGTTTTTAATCCAATCATTTGTTACGGAATTCTAACAGATATCCACAGGAATGTTACACAATGTAATATAAGATAGTATTGATTTAAACAGAAATCTATCGTGTTGAATTTCTCGAAGTTTTCAGTCATAATCACGCATTTCTCGCCCATAATAATGATGTTTCCCAAAAAATATTACCTTTTAATTTAAAGTTCATTAATCTATCTGACTCACGTCCAAACCTATTCAAAAGATGGAAAAATCACTAAGTATAAAAAAGAAATTCATCCTATCACATTTTCTTGAAACTTGCTAGAAAGAATGTGTGCAATATGAAAAATACTCTTAAATTTGAAACTAACATTTTTCAAAACATTTCATCTATTAATAGCTTTGCAATAGAAATGCGAATTCTGAACAAACGCTAAGTTCAACATCTACTCTATATAATAATTAACAGTACTCTGACAAAATGGTTTATCGGACAGCAAGCCATGATGGTTAAATCTCTGAAGAAGCTAGCCACTCGCGCCAGCGAAACGTCAGGAAGAAATTCCAAAAATCCACGGCTTTCAAACTCGAAAAGCAATGACACTAACAGTACTCTGTTCTACAGGTTGGAGGTAATAACATGCCGATTGTTATATGTAGAGCATAAATAAATTATCTAGTTTAATAATGTATATTGAGGGATTCACAATTGAAGAGTACTTAAATTAATGTTTGGACAATCAACATTGTAAACAATAACATGGAGTTATATAATATAACTGGAGTTTTATCCCAACACCATATTGTTATTTTTAACACCTCGACACGTGTTTCGATCAAGAGAAAGATGAAACTGAGTTACACGGTAGTGATAAACAAGAAATACTGGTTGAGTATGTAGAATTATAATGGTATGTTGCAAATTTTCTAATGTAAGCATACATATAAAGCGATTTTAAAATAATGGGCTAATACAATCGTCACTTTCAAGAATGCTGAGTATGGGAGTTCCTGAAAGTATGAGTTACTTTGTTGAAGTAGAGTATGTTTCGCAATAGAACCGGAAAATTTTCCAGTTGAAAAAATCAAATATAACTGCGAAGTAGCGATTCAGTGTAGAACAAATAAAAGGTCAAGATTGGGTGGTATTCCAAGAAAAATGTGTGAAACCAAGCATATTTTAATATAAGACGCAACATTATTCAGTGTTGAAGTTATATTGGAAGTTATTGACTCACTAATGAATTATGTTTGCGAGGATAAAACCATCAATAATATCTTGTTGACATATACCATTTTCAAAGACATACAAAAATATTGTAGGTGAGAAATGGGTATTAGGTCTCATTCTTTCCAATATTCAGCAATGTAGTGGTTAGAGACAACTAAAGAGTATTAAATAAAATGTTTTCCATTGACCAGGGCCAGACAACTTTCTATCAGCGTGTGCCTTTCATTCAGGAGATGACTGAAACTAATTACAACTGAATTACAGCGTCTTGTATTGATCGGGACAAACCTTCACTTTGGTAATGGGCGTCATCGATTGAATTCATAGTACTTAACTATTTTGTTGGTTTTTGTATCTCGATCCCTACTAATACTACCCGTTACAATGTATAGAAATTGTCTAATTATGATTGGTGTATTTTGGTTTATATAGAAAACCATATTTTCGAGTCTTCATATTTATAAAGGTTTTAGTTGAATCGTCATCATGCTAATTTGGTTAAAAAGCGCGCCAAAAGGAGGTGCATCTAACATACCTCAAGTTTTAAAGTACGCAATACAATTTGGAAGTTCAGGTTTGTGTTCATCCCGCACGGGGACGGGGGTCCAGTGTTTTAAAAGTCCACCCTTTTTATTTTGTACAAGAAAACTAACAACTCTCAAATTCCTTTCCATTTACATAAATATTGGTAATGATACCCAATTGTGTTGCCGTTTGAGGTTGTTGACTATCTTTGGTTCGAGTTTCTGTTGTGGTTGAAAGAGTATAGTTATTGCTTAACTCGCCACGGTGTCATGGTGTAGGCTAAATGTACCATTTTTTTCAATTTCTAAATTTGAGTCATATTTTATTGGATAAAATGGTCTGATAAACAATTCTATAGAAAAATGATTTGTTAGACAAACTATCGCATCGCCAAAGAACTTTCAGTTTTACCTAAAATTAAAATGTGCATGTGATGTGATGTGTTCATGAATTTAACTTTTTGTGACATCGATACTGATGTGGAAGTGTTCAGAAAGAATTGAGAGATAAAACTCACATCACGACCTTATTAATATAACCCTATTAACTCTGGCCATTACTCATCTATCATTGCCTCATAACTCTTGATAATGGAATCTTCTGCATACACCATTATGCACGTAGATCATTAACGAAGAGAACTAACAATAGCGGTCCCAACACTGAACCCTAAGAAACTTATAGTTTCCCCATATAGTTAGTGCCAGATATCGTAGTTGGAATATAAAATATAATTAAAAATGTTTGTTGGGTAACAAGATTAAATTATCTCAGACTAACATATTGAATTGAATTCAAAAATAAACCTTAACAAATTTAAGTCATTTAGATCACTAGACTATTTAACTGATGAAATTAATGAATATGCAAAATGATGGATACATTGTTGAGGAATTTGATAAAATTTACCAAAAAATTGGTTGTTTTCCAGTGAATTTCATTAATACAAGCAATTATTTTGAAAGATTTGTAGCAGTTGCCAAGCCGTTTCGTTTTCGTTACATTATCAACTTTTTTCGGGTGCACAAATTGATGATGCATGTGTAAAGATCAATTGACATACTGCAATAATGTATGTACTACAGATACATTCATATACACTACTGAACATACATTTTAGCTTGCTTGGAACTTCAAATTGTATGTCAAATTTAACATTTTGACCATTCCATCTATACTTCCAAATATTGATTTCTCCAAATTCAAAGTTCCCCGTATTGGAAAATTAATTATACTAATAACATAACAGTAACACGATTTTTGGAATGAAAAATTACTCGTGTTGGGTGCATATATATGCATATATATCGAGTGATTGAAAACAAGAAAAAAAAGTGGTGTTCTTAGGTTTTTTCATGTGCTAAGATAAACCGAAGTAACAAGAAGGCTGTTGAAATTATAAGGTGGTTGTACTGATTGGAAGTGAGAATATTGTTTCAGTGAGATCATTTCAGAAGTTAAATTGAAAAGTGGAAAAAATTATTGAGGAAATATAGTTTTGAAAAAGTTGACAATTTTTCAATAATTATGTCTAGTGTCTCAATTCCAAAAATATAAATGTATACTTGAAAAGTCTTGCATTTAGACGGGACCAACAATATCTTAGTGTATACTTCAACATAAATTTCCATACTGATGTAGCCATTATATTTCAGGAGGAGATGGCAATTTAGTAGTTCAAGTTGATACAATTTTTGTATCTGGAATGAATCCTGATCTCGATGAAGAAGACATTGCACAACATTTTGGCTCAATTGGCATTATCAAGGTATGTCTTTATAAACTTTTGAAATCGGGCGAATTGCACTCTGTGCTTGAATTGATCAATATTCAAGAAACAATTTTGATATTTCGCTAAATAAATACAGAAATATATTCATTCTTTTGTTCAATCAAGACAATAGAATTTATTCCATCTGTGACAATGTTCATAATTGTCTTTCTATATATTTTCTGTATATAAACGAAATTATTTATTGTAGATGGACAAAAGGACACAAAAGCGTAAAGTTTGGTTGTACAAAGATAAAGCTACAGGTGAAAGTAAAGGAGAAGCTACTGTAACTTATGACGATGCTGATGCTGCGCAATCGGCGATTTCTTGGTTTGATGGTAAAGATTTTCGAGGCTCTACCGTCAAAGTTCAACTGGCGACCAAGAGAGACAACTGGAGTGGTGGCGGTGGAGGTCGCGGTGGTCCTCGCGGGGGTCGTGGAAGTGATGGAGGCCGTGGTGGTGGCGGCGGCGGATTTGGTGGGGGTAGAGGTAGAGATGGCGGAGGTGAGAAATTGCTTTAGATATGTGAAAGAGCATTAGATTTCTCTTACAAGGTAACAGTGTAGTTAACCAAAAATATATAAATCATTTTTAATGATTCAGGTTTATTTCTGTTGAGGACTCGTAAAGTTTCTAAATTCTAGTCTTTTTCATGAGGTTATTTTCTGCAGATTTCTTTATTAGCAGTTGGAAAATGAACCCAATTCATAAGCTGAACTGACATTTGACTGTTGCAAATAAAGAGGAAATTCTGTCAATTCAGACTTTAAGAAACTTTGAAAAGTGAAATGACCAGATGAATTTGGAAATGGATTTTTTATGAGTTTTAGTATTAATTTTTTTCTGTGAGTTTGTTCTAGCCGTTTGAAAGAAGAGGGGGGGACTTTGTCCACCCTGAATGTATTATGGAGTGATGGAATTTGCTGAAATTATTTGAGGAATCTATACAAAACTTGTTGACGAAAGAAAAAAGTAGTACCATGAAAGATTACATGATTCCCGATTAGAAAATTTGGAATTTGTTAAAGGATTAATGTATAATAGAAAATTTACTAGTTTATGATAATATTGAACCATAAAACACCATATAATGTGATGCCATAATTATAACATGTATTCTGTTCAGCTGAAATTTAACTGTATTAACAAGTTTCACGAAGTTGATACAGGTATTACAAGTCAACTTTGAAGTATTTGTGTTTCAGTTGAATTTCATCTTTGTAATACTTTAGGAACAACTGATGATTGAGTTATAATTATTTTTTCTGTGATTTCAGGCCGAGGAGGCGGTGGTGGTGGAGGAAGAGATCGGGAGGGTCGAGAAGGAGACTGGAAATGTCCCAATCCTGATTGTAGCAACACAAACTTTGCCTGGAGAAACCAATGCAACAGATGCAATGAGGACAAACCTGAAGGAGCAGGAGGCAGCGATGATAGACGTGGAGGCGGTAGCCGCGGAGACCGAGATAGTAGCAGAGAAAGACGTGGCGGTGGCGGTGGATTCAGAGGACGTGGAGGCGGTGGCTTTGGTGGTCGTGGCGGTCGGGGAGGAGACAGAGGTGGATTTGGTGGTGGTCGTGGTGGAAGGTTAGTATTCTAATTCTCAATAATACATTTTCAAATAAAATGCTATAACTGTAAGTAGCATAGCATAAACGTTAATCATTTCATATTTTTTCATTCAAGAATTCGTTATTGAATTTTCTGTAGTAGATTCTGCGATGCTTTGTAGAGAAGGAAATCCTATTTGTAGGTATGTGTGGCAGATACCTCGTGAGCAATATAGAAATTTTCACACAGAAAGTTGAAGTAAAACCATCAAACACCTGTGCACTATAGTCTGACAATTTTCAATTAAAGGTAACTCATATGCAAGTTGAACTGAGAGCTAACGGCAACAATGTTGAATGTTAAAACTAAATTCTTACCAGGGTCATAGACAATAAAAATGACCCCGATAAGAATTTAGTTCTAACATTTAACATTGTTGCCGTTAGCTCTCAGTTCAATTTGTATATGAATTACCTTCAATTGAAAATCATCATTTTATAGTCATAAACTCTGCCCGACAAAGTCCCGAAGCAACTCCACAATTACATACTGCGGGGTGGGAGTCATATATATTAGAAAATGCTTTTATTTTTGTATTCCTCCCATCCGCTCTCGGAGAAACCTAATTATTAGTTTCTTTTGATTTACATGGTGGGAGAAGATTATCATCTCTATTAAAACACACTACTAGCTAACTTCTAGCTTTCAGGTGTATCCTGTCTGGAGAGACAATGTTTTACAGTACACAGAATGAACCACGGCCTGTCATAAGTACCGCCTCCCTAATTGCGCAAAAAATTCATACCAATTAGGAGACCCCTTTATTATGTCATTACTTGTGCTTAAGTGAAAACTATATTCAAACTTGCTTTATTTAGGTAGTAATGGAGCTTGAAAGTAAACTATAAAACATACCCTTTGTGCGGTATGCCAATCTCTCCCAGCCATATCTCATTCTGTGTTCTGTGATTTCATGAAACATCTTTAGGAATTCAGTATCTTGAAGTGTTTCAATGATTGAATTGAGAATTTTTTCATGCTATAATATTTTGCATTTTCAGGGGCGGTGGCGGCGGTCGAGACGGTGGTAGAGACAGTGGTGGCAGGTCCCGACCTTATTAGGCAAACGTCCGTTTTAGTTTTTTTTTCAATTTTTGTATTATTTAAAACTTGTGAATGACTTTTATTTTTTGTATTTAGTTTGTAATTACTCAAGACAGGAATAAAATATAAGTTCAGAGATGCAAATTTTCTTCTGAAATTTATTATTAGTTGATTTCATTATCAAATTTCTATAAATGTGTAATAAAATAGTGTCTTAAGTTATATTATAGTTTAATTTTATTTGAACCAATGAAACTTAACAGTCAGTTTGATTGATTTGCCATGTGTCAAGAAATGCAGAGGGGTAAAGTTGGACAAGACAGTGGAATTAGAAAGGAGATCGGGTGGTAAATCAATTTGAAGGGCAACAAGTTTTTTAAATGCATGTGATTGATATTCAGCTTTATATTTGTGGTGGTTCGTTAATTAAGGATGAAACACAAGCACTACAGAAAAATCCTCAAAGCACTTTAAGAACATTGTGATGTGAGATCAGGTGTGTAATCAGGCACAAATCTGTGCCTGATTACACATCTTTGTGGAATTTTCATTGACGTATTTTTTTGTTTGAAAACTTCCTACACTCCATACAATGTGTCAGTGTTTTGTGTGAAAGTTTGATATCAATGTATATAGGGAATTTTTTTTGATATACAACTTGTCTTTAGGTGTTATTACTGTTTCAGAAAATGCATTTATTTTTTGTTATACTCCCATCCGCTCTCGGAGGAACCTAATTATTAGTTTCTTTTGATTTATATGATGGGAGAAGATTATCATCTCTATTAAAACACACACTAGCTAATATTTAGCTTTCAGGTGTATCCTGTCTGGAGAGACAATGTTGTACAGAATGACCACGGCGGTTACAAGTACAGCCCCTCAATTTGTGCAAAAATTTATACCATTTGCATTCCGTTACTTGTGCTCAAGTGATAAGGTACCTGATTCACATATTTGTGAAATTTTCATTGACATGATTTTTCTTTGTTTGAAAACTTCCCTGTACTATAAACAGTGTGTCATCAAACTTCCTTTACAAGTTTCTGATGTTCCAAAAATATTTTATGTAAATGTATTGGTGTTTTTGAAAATATCTAGAAATTCTCATTTTTTAAATTATAGGAAATCTGGAATCAACATTTTTCTATACTGTTGATTAAAAATACACCTAGTTGACGACTCTTGTATATTAATTTGCTGTGATAATTTTAAAATCTTCCATGGCTTTTTGTATTCTTCACATCGTCAATATCGAGTCTCCTTGAACAAACTGTTAGTATTCCCGAAAAGTTTACTCTGAAGATATATATATTAATTTGCCTCAAATTTATTTCATTCTGAAATTTAGTTTTCAAAATTTTGTTGAAATTGATATATTTTTGAAACCCCATATTTTGGAAAACAGCTTTTCAAGAAGCCACAGCTTGAAACAAAAAAAATTACCTTTTCATACATACTAAAGTTTTTAAAAGTACTTAATCCTAATATGGAAAATATGTCATTCTATTTAAAAGCTCGAACATGTGATTTGATGGTACAGGCATACCTGAAGAAACTATTGTGTGTTAAGTGAAAATCCCAGAATGAATAGTCAGTCCTAATCAACAAGTTCAAAAACATGGAAAATAGAGATAAAGGTCCTAAAAATATGAGCGATAGATCATTCGATCGGAATCACCTCTAGAAAAATGTTTTTGAAGGATTTTGATGCAGGTTAAAAATTGCAATTGTTATTAACAAAATAAGATAAAAAAATGGTATTTAGTTTTTCGTTAATACCTCAAAAAATGTTAATATTTAAGCAATTTAGGAGGGAATTTCCGATGAAAAAGTCCCAACTCCAAAGAGGAGGAAATTTCCGATGAAAAAGTCCCGACTCCCGAAACTCCATCTCCGTTATTTATAATTTTAATTTGACGTTGAAAATAGCACGATACACTCAACGGTATGCCGACGCGCATCTCTGTCCTGACTTGTGACGTCACTGCGAAGCACGGAGCCGGATAGCGCACAATTCATTAGAAGGAGAATGAGATTCGGTCGAATATCTCCAGGCATTTTCGCATGAAAATGGAATTATTAGTCTTGATGCATAAATACATACATGTTGATTTTTTCAGAAGTAGGTATATTTGTTTCCTGAGTCTACTCAATACTAAAATTATGAGTCATTTTCTCACCCTATTGATGAAACCGAGGGCGATACATACTGTGATGATATTTCCGACTTGACAATATTTTTGACAAATTCAATCGGCTAGGTAATAAAATACATATTTTTTCAAGTACTTTTGTTTTAAAAAAAGATAAATTGCACATGGGTCAAATTTTCCATATTCTAATTATTTGAAGTAACAAGACATATGACAACGAGCTACAAAATGAGATAGAAGCTATTTTGGTAATTCATCGAGTTTTCTTTCGTTGATTTATGAACTTATTTTTTTTCCCATCCTGTTTTTCAAATTATGGAAACTTATTTGTTTGTTAATCTCCCGCAATCTTATATAGGTCCTTGTTCTGCACAAAGAATGTAATGCATCGTATGGTATTGGGTTTCTATCTTTTCTATGGTTCTTTGCGTTAAAGTTTTGAAGATACCTTTTTCGCTGGATAATGTATTTCCATGCATAAAGAAAAAAAATCGATTAGAGGCAATGTTCACAGTGACAATAAGTTCGATTGATAAAAGAACCTAACCTCTCTTTTTCTGTTTTTTGTTGTGCATTCGACTGAACTGAAGTACTGCAAGTGCTATCTATCTACGTTTGTTTGTTCAGGTTGTTCTATCTCTTCAGTATTTAATTGTAGTGATGTGGAAACACTACCTTCATAATTTTCCAATTGTTGCTCTGGTAAAAGAGTGGATTTTCTCCTTTTAGCAAAACGAATTGTTCTTTCTGATTCTTCAGTTTGTTTTCTCTTAAATAAGAGGTTCAGAGTGGGCACAGCATCAGTTTTCAAATTACGGGCGTTTTTTGTTGAAAAAGTACCATATTGCTCTTTGACTGATAAATCTTCGAAACAATCTTTATGGAAATGAATAGAACAAATAGTTGCTGAAAACCATTGAATACCTAATAAATTATGTGTCATCATTGCTTTAATTAATACACACCATTTTTCAAATTGATGTTGTCCTTCCTCCTACATGCTGAAATCCATTGTTTAGACAGTTCTTTGCTCTTTGGGAATCGAAAATACTTAATATTGGTCCCTTTTGTCACTCTGTTGTAATTATTACAACCAAAAACCGCACAAACCAGGCATTCTTAGTTATATACCTACCTACTCGTATTTTTGTTTAATTATTGAAGCTTCGAATACGACACTAAATTGACAAAAGCTAATTAAAAATGTTTGAAAACCACTCTTGACAATAATTTCGTAATAATTCTTAAACTTCACAGCACAACAGAGAACTTGTGAAAAATTCAAATTGAATTTAGGCAAGTCTACGAAGTTACAACCCCGATATGCTTCGCACTCACGTCATCTGCGCGAACTGGACGCAAAGTTTTGAAAAAATTTTAGTATCTTCTTAACACTTGAATGAATCGAGTTCCGTTGAATAACTATTTTTCAAAAAGTTATTCAATTGTTAACTAACAAATTTTTTCCCAATCTCCTTTGGCATAAATAATGGGATAAAAGGTATAAATAATTGACCTATAAATTTTAAACTTTGTGGTGCCCTTTTGGTATATATACATCATACGATCCTGTGATAAAAGTTCATAAAAATTTATTAATTTGTTAATTATGATTTTTTATAACTATTGCAAAATGAAATGTCTATAAACTGTTGATAATTTTTTTTTCAATTGATATCTAGCTGTCTGTTTCAGTGAACTAGAAAGTGTGTCAGGGGCAGTTGAAAGAGAGAGAAAGAGCATTATTTACGATAACTTTTCTTTGTCATACTCGAGCAAATAAGTTATGGTTTGATGCATAAAATACCTTTTAGGTATAAATTCAGCTATTTCTGGGATTATATTTATTCAAAGAGTATAATTGTGAAGATATACATTTATGTTGTTCTAATGTGCTATTAGTTTCGCTTCCTTTGTTGTGTGTGGTTTAATAAACACTTAATTTTGTTGGTGTTATTTGTTATTGGTCATAGTTCTGATGAAACTGCTAATAGGTGCTTGAACAAAAAAAACCGAGTGAATTTCAAAAAAAAAAATTAGTGTTTTTGGATATATAGTTCGTAACCTCGTTTCTGCCACTACCTGTAATCATTGTATTGAAAGATTACTTTATATATCATAAATTGTTCACCAATTTTGTCACTCAAGGAGGTCTTCTTTATGCTTTAGATGTTTACAAAATTGAACATTTTGTGGTAGGTAAAACAAATTCGTCTATCTAAGACGAAACTAAGGACATGTTTATTTCGAACTTTAAACGGAAAATTATAAACACAGTAATGAATCATTTTTCTGTGAATATAAATATTTTCAAACCTGGACATGCTATAATTCAGGAATTTGTAGGTGAAGAATGTCATGATATCCAAATCATTCGGAAAGTTACTGCGATATATATTTAAAGAGCCGAATGTATCACCACAGTAAATTGTTAAATTTAAAATTGAATGGAAAAAGTGCCACAGTTAGACAAAAAATTACGACACTTATTTTGTTTAGTAACTGTTAGACAAAGTCGAAATAGCTATGTTTTGTAATATTAAATAAAACATTTCTAATTTTATTTACCAACCCCGTGGAAAAACAGTTAAATTTTCATTTGAATGTTGTACTATTTCTATTATTACTTCCTTCCTGAGCAACTGTTCAGAACCAATATACTTTTTCGACAAAATTAACGTGAAAAACTTAAACGGCGAGTTTCTATCAAAATATATATTCACCAAACAGCACTAACAATCTCTGTAATCCACACTTCGTTTATACACTACGTGACCCTATCAATCATGTCTCTCCGAATCATCAACTTTTCTGGCGCGATAGTCGGTTATTACACCAAAGTTATAATGTGATGATGAAATCTTCGTCAAACAAACAAATGAAGAAGTCTACCAATAACGATAGCGTTTATGAGAAAAGCAGATATTTATAATGATCGTATAAAATATATATTACCAAAGATGCATCAATTCACAATTGAAGTCAATGATTAAACCATCACCCCTTTTCCTATCTGGATATAAACAACTAAATGAATAACAATGCTCTCGGCTCTCGCCTGGCTCGCTCGAGTTGACTAACCAGTGATGTTTTTCGGGAACGAAAAATTGTGCCAATACAAAAATGAAAATTGTACTAAATTACGTCTTATTGTACTGCACTATGTGATATCATGGAACATCATAATAAGTGTTCTGTGAATTTATGATCATATTATGAATATATGAATCATAATACAGGGGTGGGTGGAATTTTCATATCAAAACATGTACATAACACTTTTTTCAAATCGTCCTTTTTCTTGCATAATTTATTTTTCACATGATCTGAAAATAAGGCGTCCAGAACCAGTGCACAATCAAAAAATTAAATGGAGATATTGCACAAATTATGCCAAGCAAAAGTGAATGAAAGACAAAAACCCTCAACGCTGTTAAGTTGACACTTGACACTGTTGACAGTGTCAACAAAACATCATTTTATTATGTTCATGGGTCATGGCCCATGGGTCCATGGGGTCTGTTGTCGAGATCGTGCGTTTGACAAAGTATCGACAGAATGAAATACAGCGATATAAAATACGTATGCTGGACTGCGATACATCATCTGCATATTAATTCATAACTCGAGACTATTGTCTGTCTGTCAAATGCCGAATAAAAATTTTATTTTTTAGAAAAAGAAAGCAAAATTGTACTAAAATGGCGAAAGAGGTACTGCCGTACTGCATTTAGTTCGATTGTACTAGATTCAGTACAATTGTACTGCACGTAACATCACTGTGACTAACTATGACTGACTAATTCCCATCCAATCACAGAACACCCTGGTGTTCTGTGATCCAATCTCACGGGCCCCGTGTTTTTTTTCGGGTACCGCGTTTTTTTCCACCCATGTCGATAGTGGTTTCTTACACGTTGAAGGTTATTACAGTCGGCCATCCTGATATACTTCACGCCCTCGTGAAGAAGCACCTAGACCTGTGGACCTGAAACAACAAACTTAAATTAAATTAGGATTTTCTTTCAGGAGACGAATTTTATCCTGAGGAACTACTCTCATTTGATGAGACAGTCGTAACAAACGGTTTCATTCGTTCTGAAGGACATATACCCGTATAGGTTGTCTGTGTACGTTTGGACCCTGGTAGTTCGTCAACAACGTACCGATCGTTATCGAGTACTTTCGTAATAGGGTCCTTTATACCGTGGTTCAAGCTTTCTGCTCCTTCCGTCGTTAGAAGTCTTAGTCTCTTGAAGTACAACATGTTGGCCAACCGTAAACGTTTTCAAATTAGCATGCTTCTTGTTGTAACTTTCTTTCTGAGAGAGTTGGTGAGATCGAATTTGCTCAGATACATTACCCCTCAAAACCGTTAGGTCGTGACGTTTCTCGTTAGAGATCTCTGCTGCAAGAAATGCGTCATTGATATCGCGTGGACGGTATCCGAAGAAAACCTCGTAAGGCGTCTTACCTGTAGTGAAATTAACCGTAGAATTAATTCCCCACTTCAACTGGCTAACCGCCTCGTCCCACCGATTTTCTTCTGTCGTGGATGTCATCAAGGACGAAAGAATGGAGCGGTTCATCCTTTCTACTTGCCCGTTCGCTCGCGGAGTTGCCGTAGCGCACAATATTCGTTTGATCCCCGAGTCGCGACAGAAATCCATAAATTTCTTACATTGAAAGGCCGAGCCCCTATCACATATTAATCTCTTCGGTACTCCAAACATCACGATTATTTGATCCAAGAAACTTATGGTCGGTCCCGACTTTGTGTTAGGTATTGCTTTCATAAAAACGAATTTAGTAAATCCATCAACTACAAGATAGGCATTTTTCTTAACACTCATGACAAAAGGTCCAAGGTGGTCCACATGTAAGGTGTCCATTGAAACTTCTTCTACCTGGTTTCTTGTCGGACGGTACATTTTTGTACAGACAGCCCAAATAAGAATTTATGTAATTTCTCACGTAGTTTCTCATCGAAGGAAACCAGTAACGAGCACTAACAGCTTCTAGGGATTTGTCCACGGCGAAATGTAAAGCGCCATCGTGGTAATACATTAAAATTCTTCTTTGCGCTATTATGGGAACAACCCACCTGGGGCCTTTCGGTGTCAAACGATAGAGACGTTTTTCCTTTAAACAATAATTTTGACGAATTTCTTTATTTGCGAGGTCGTTGGAGGGTTTGGGTAGGCACTCTACCAGCTCTTTACATCTGCTGTCCTGGAGCTGTGCTAAAAGTACCCAGTCGTCTTCGTTGACGCTGACCAACATGACACTAACATCATTAAGGGCGTTATCATCTCCTATAGGGTTCCTGCTAAGAGCGTTAGCATGTACCATTTTGATTCCTGGACGGTATTCTATATCAAAGTCGAATTCTTGAATATTGAGCCACCTCCTGGCAATTCTAGGAACTAGGTCCCTCTTTACCAAAGTATGACGCAACGAGTTACAATCTGTTACGACCTTGACTCGAATTCCAACCAGATAGATTCTGATTTTCTTCAATGAACACGCTAAGGCTAACGTTTTCAATTCGTAGGAATGGTACTTTTGCTCTTCCCTCTAGTAGCTCGACTGAAATATTGTACTGGTTTCAATACACCGTCGGCCTGTTTTTGGAGAAGTATCCCTTTCAGTCCTAATTTGCTAGCATCGCAATGAACTTCTGTACATGCTTCTCGGTTATAGATTGCGAGAACCGGTCGCACGACTAATTTTTTCTTCAACGTGTTGAAGGCTAGTTCTTGATCTCTTCCCCATATGAAGTTCGAATCTTTTTTAGGGAGACATGATATTGGTCTAGAAATGGCAGCAAATCCAGGAATACATTTTCGGAAGTAGCTAGCCAAACCTAGGAAACGTCTTACATCATGCACGTTGGTAGGAGAAACAGCTCTGATCTTATCAGCCCCCGGACGGATGCCCTCTCCAGATATCTCATGACCTAGGTCTTCGATTTTCTGTTGTAGAAAACGGCACTTACTCAGTCACAAGGTCATTCCGTTATCTTGATATATTTTTAAAACTGCTTCAAGGTTTTTAATACATTCGGGAATCGTTTTAGAAGGAATTAGGACATCATCTAGGTAGGTTAAGGCAGTATCGAAACTGATCAGTAAGGACCCAAAATATGATTCATCGTTCTTTGAAATACTGCAGGCTCATTGACAAGTCCAAACGGCATCCTAATATACTCGTAATGGCCGTCAGGTGTGACAAATGCTGTTTTCGGAATAGATTCTTTATCCAAAGCGATTTGGTGATACCCTGAAGCGAGGTCCAGACTGGTGAAGTACTTGTTACCTTTGATGGAGTCCAATAGATCGTCAATACGGGTAAGAGGATATTTATCCTTGATTGTTTTTCGATTGATGGCTTGATAATCAACGCACATCCGTTCTTCACCATTATTTTTCCTGACAAGAAGGATTGGGCTGGCATACGGCGAATCAGATTCTCGAACGATCCCATTATCAAGTAACTCCTGTACTATCTCCCTTACTTTTCTCTCTCGGTATACGCCATTCGGTACGGGCAGTACGTCACAGGAACATCATCGCTCAATTTGATAGTCATCTCCGTAACATTCGTTCTACCAACTTCGTCGAGGGTTAAGGCGAAACATCCTCTGTATTCGTTAAGGAAACTCAGAAATATTTCCTTTTCATGAACAGTCAGATTTGGATTAAGTTGGTTTTCGATGTCCGCCAAAGTCAGCGGTTTAAGGTTCTTGATTCCAGTCTGCATACATGTCAATAATGGAATGGAAGTATCGGCAAAGCACGTTACTCCCCTAGCTACAACCCTACCTTTTTTGTAACACACATCTCTGACTGATATATTCATGATAGAAAGGTAACCGCCACTACTAGCATTCGTAACGCATCGTGGTAAAATGTGAGATTGGCCTGGCCATTACGGGCAATTTGCTCGAGTCTAATGACACGTTCTGACTGTGATTGAATAATCTAATTTGGCTACACTGAACAACAACCGTTACGTTTTCATGATTTATGAATGGCTGCTCTACAATCATAGAGACATTTTGAACGTTGTCTGGGAACACGAGTGAGTCGACGTTCGCTATAGCCAAGTCAACTGCAAGAGTGATTGGTACCTTCGTGCGAACACTAACCGACCCACCTCCATAATCTCGTAAACACACCCTGTAGGTTTAAGTTTTGAAAGTCTGACATTTTTATCGTAACTGCTACACATCCAGAGTCAACATAACATCTCAAGGGGTACCCATTAATAACGCAATCAATGAAATACCATGTATTCGAGTCAATACTTGATGAATGATTTGCAAATAAAACATCAGTAGACTTACCCTCGTTTGATTTATTTCCATGCTTACGGAATTGAGGTCGTTGTCGTTGTACACTTGGATTCTTCGTGGCCCAATAAATGACACCGACGACATTCCAGGCGTTTTCGGGGACATTCCGACTGGTAATGGCCCATCATCTTGCAATTGAAACATTGTACGATTTTGGTTTCCGTAGTTCTTCAAGTCGGTAGACGCTGTTTGGAAGACAATGATTGCCTCAAGGCTGGTTTCGGCACTCGTCTAATACCACTCAGCGTTGTTCTAGGGAGTTTGTTTTTGGTACTGAATTTATACATCAAAAAGTACTGAATTTGTAGTAAACAGTACTGAATCGACCAATTTCTCACACCTTAGAAAAAATGTTCTGAATATAGGGCATAGATATGTGTGTTTAACAGGTTGTGAATTATGAAAAATTCAAAGACAAATTGGCCTTTATGTATCAAATATGATTCATCAAAGGACCATATGTAAAATAACAGTTCTGACAATTATTATTGACAATGTTGACTATAATGACAATGGCCATGATTTCTTAGATGATTATGAAACTGACCCACCACGTTTAACGTATATTTGTAATTATCAACAATTGACGATATTCGATAAGGATAAAGTGGTGGCCCGTTTCCATAATTTCTTTTTGGCAACCATGATTTCTGAATCAACTGTCAATGTCTTTTCATATTATCACAATATTTAACCCACATTATCCATTGACAACTGCCAAAGAACAAAAATAAACATTAAGTAATAATAATTAAGAAGTATTTTATTCAAAATGGAGTCAAACATAGCTTAAATTATTGTGACAGTTATGACAACCATGAATTATGTTATAACTGCCACTGTCATTTGACGTTGTCACAATAATTTTGCCTATATATGCCATTTTGAATAAAATACTTTTGGAATGTTATTGCGTAGTGTTTATTTGATTCTGAAGAGCATTGTAGCATTTTGTCATATGTCAACTATACGAATAGCTTGCATTAAAATCCATTCAAGTGAGGCCACGTTTGGCTTTATAAACGACATCCGTTACCAACTAGTCGAATAGCCCTAGTTGCTGAGGCCACTAGCAGATTGATGCATTTTTTGGTTTGTCATATGCATATGGGAAAACTGATTTGATAAAAAATAGCCCTTTTTTACGTGTCTACGGCTTAGGTCATCAACCTAGTGACCTGAGTAGGCAATGTTAATGTCCTTTTAAGCCATCTGCAAACATCATAGCTATTCGCCATTCAACATTGCAGGAATCATCCCCACTTCAACTAGATACATTCTCTCTCGAAAAAAATATCTGGTCGAGGTGCGGATCAACGAACGATCTTCCATTCATGATTCGGGAGCACTGGCACTACTACAATTCGGCACTAAAAAAAAATATCAATCAATGAGACAGGTTTCTTTCTATTTTTGTATCAATAATTGTATGAATAATCTTCTCATTAATCTTGGTCTGCTATACCAATAGAATGACAATAGAACATGTATGAAATAACAAATATGAAACGAAAAATAATTTATTGCATATTGAAGGTTAATTACAACCCTCTGGAATCACAAATTAAGATGTACTTCTAATAATCATCTAATTCTAAATTAATGTTTAAAAATAAATTGTCTGTTCCCGATGAACATATTCAATAATTTCATCATGAAATTAAAATGAAAATTCTTCATTTTCTCGAACAGCAGATGCCAAGGTACCATCTTGATAACTGATATTTTTAGAAATCAAACTTATAGAAGGTTTATAATTGAAACAGTTACTACCTTTCAACATTTCTTTGGTATGGAGGAGAAATTTGTTTTTTGATTTAATCAGCGCTAACTGTGAGAATATCCTTTCAGCAGATGCTGAAGAGTGAGGAAGGGACAACAGACCAGAAAAAAGTATTTCAAATGAGGAAACATAATTTCCTTTAAACCACTTTTCACATCAAAAACAAAGTTCTAAAAATCTAAAATTGATATTTGTTTCTTTTGTTCTTGCATTTTCCCCTTTAAATGTTGCCAATATTCTTGAATTTCTAAATGTTCATTAAGTAATCTCCATTCTAAATCTAACTTTTGAATATCAGACGCTAGGATAGGGAATCTATGTATAATATTAACTAGCGTTTGACATTTATTAGAAAAAATAAGTTGAGGATTCAATACTTCCATGTTCCGTAAAACAGGATCATTTAAATCAAAACGTTTTTTTATTTGGTTTGCTAACTAAATATAAAATGCTAAACAAGCTTTTCTGAAACCGTAAAGATCCTCAATGGAAATATCTTTGTCATTCTGTAAAATCAACAAACCGAATTTTGCTCCACAATATATTTCATTCAACGGCAAATAGTGGTGAGGATTGTTAATTTGTATTTCATTGAAATTTTTATTCATGAATTCATCTTTGATAAAATTTTTCAAAATTGTGCGGTATAAACTCTATTCTACTCAATAGAATATGAAGCTTTACTGTTTCACTTTGAAACTCAACATTCAAGTTATTTATCAAATCTAAAGAGTAGCTTAAAAATCAAAAATATAGTTTTATTATAGGGTCTTTTAATGCGTTTAATATGGCATCTGGTTTTAGACATCTATCGCCTTTTCCGTCAAATGTTTCATTAATAAAGAACAGGATTAAAGCTTCATACCTATCTAATATTCTGTCAACAACTGCCTGTAAAGATAACCACCTTGTCTGAGACAGTTTCAACATTTTATGTGGTTTTAAATTAATAAAAGTTTGACACTCTTCAAAATCTTGCACCCGTATGGTACTATGAGAAAAATATGTACAAATATCTCTCACTAACTTTTCCAAATATGATGGAAATTTTTCACAAGCAGAGGAAGAACATAGACTGAAAGAGTGACAAGCACAGTCAAGAACAAAAATGTGGGGTATTTCATTTTTGAATAATGCTTGTACACCATTTATATTTCCCATCATAACACTGCAATTGTCCGCAGCAAACCCCAACGTTTTATCCTTGTAGGGAATATCACATTTTACTAAATAATGTTTGAGGGACCAAAATATTCCCTCGGCATTTGAATGCTCCAGTTCAACTATACCTGAAAATTCATCCTGGACAGCACCATCTTTAAAATATTGTGCTACAATTGCTAGAGCTTTCTTGTTACTAATATCTGTTGTTTCGTCGATTATTAATGAGAAAAAGTTATCTGTCTTTTTGCATGAATGCTATCTGCTGAGAAGCAGAGATGTGTTCCCTTTTTTCTGTTGATTGATATTCTTTTTGCCACTTCAGAATCAGGGCAAACAGCAGACAATAACTTGTTCAAATGATCCAGTAATAAGAAAGGGGGATTGTGTTCTGCTAAAAACATTATCATCACAACTTCTGATGTTCTAATTTTTTGAATCAATCTCATTTCAGGAGACGATTCAATAAAAGTCTTAAATTTTGGAGTTCTGTGTGCAGATTTCATATTTTTGAGATGTTTGAGGGTTTTCCCATGACGTTTAATATGACTGAAGGATCCCGTTAGTTGGATATGACATACTTGACAGTAAGATGTTTTTTCCTTTGTGCTTACAAGCCAGTTTAAGTTTTTACTTAACCACTGTTTGTACTTTTTTCGCTTAACTTTAATTTGTTCTTTTTCGTCATCACTACTGCACGATTCTGATCCTTCATTATTTATTTGGTTTATATTTTCTGCTACTGTTGTTATTTGAGTTTCAGTCTGTTTAGACTCCGGAACTTTTTTTTTAATAAAAAATCTGAAAAAAAAAGTGTGAAATCTAATTTTTTGTCTACCATGCCGGTTACCTATCCATTGGTTTCTGGTTGTTTTTAGCAGTAAATAATATTTTTTTAAATTATCACTAAAATATCCTATAAAAACCAATGACAAAAATCTCAAAACAAAACACTCAGACTTCAGTTGTCAATTGTCAAGTCAATGCAAAGGACCAGTTCTTCTTCTTATTTTTTTAGGTCATAATGTTTTGTGACTTCTTAAAATTACATATGTTTTGATATTTCTCATTACTTTTGATCATATGTTTGATTTGACTGATAAATAATTCAAAAAGATCTAGGTGAAAAGTACTGTTTTTTGTTATAAAGTACTGACGTATTATGAATTCTTGAAAAGTACTGCTTTTAGTACTAAAGTACTGAAAATCCCAACGCTGATACCACTTATCATATTACCCGACTTGTCGTTCCGTAACATGGAAAAATATTCTTAGGCCCGTAAACTTAAATTCAGTGGGGAACTGTCATTTTTAATGTGTATGGTGTATTCGTACATTATTGCCGATTGCCACAGAACGTTGCCACAGAATAGTAATTGTTTACTATCGCTGCAAGTTGCAACATCTTGAATTTTTGTGTTGTTCTAAAGATCTGCATGTAGATTTTCTGTTTATTGCTCATAAGAAAATAATGTGAATGAATATATACAAATTATCTAGCGGATACAAAGTGTTAAACAATGAATGAAACAACCAACTTTTTTACTGATTATCAAGGAGTTCAACAACTTAGGGATTTACCTATTGATAACCTTTCAGTAGCAGAGTAAGTTAATAGGTGATCTAAACTTTTCAATCTCCAATTAATGTATCATTTGTAGGTGCGAGTATGAAAGGTTAAAATACTTTTTTAAGTATGCTCATAATGTGGAGACTGCAGAAGGTTTAATTTATCTCAATTATTTGCATAGTGAAGTAAAAAAGCAAATAGCATTCAGAATAGGAGATGAAATTCCTATTGACAGTGTTATTTGTAATATTTTAACACGCATTGTGAAGTTATACAGCAAAAGAAGTGAAATTGTTCAGCAAGTATTTGTACGATTATCACAAAACCATTTGAAAAAAATTGAAAAGGTATTTTACTTGTTTGTGTGTGTAAATTTTTCAATGGAATATTTTTAGGCTTTAGAAAATTTAATTGAGAAATTGCCAAAAAACTATTATGAACATGTTTCAAAACCAGTAATCAGAAAGATTGAATATGATCCCCAGGAAGGATTTAAATCTTTGGATCCAGTATTTTATATTCCCCTTAAGGAACAATTTCCTGAACTTGACAAAACCTTAGAACAATCTAGGAGAGAAAATTTTTCTTTTCTCTATGTTAAACCAAGGGAACAAAATTCAAAATCATCCTCGGGTGGAGATCCCGCATATCCTTTGGAAACAATGTTTGAATGCTATAAAGATTTAATACCAAGTTACAACTACCAGGACTTTAAGGCCATTATCCACACAGAGCTGAATTCAGGTAGGTAAATATTCTGATTGATGCCAGCAGAAAATTGTACTAACAGAATGACAATCAACACGATTCTGAAGTGAAAATGATGTGCTCTGGTGGAACAATTTGTAAAGGTGCAAAAAAGAATGTGAAATAATAACTTCTTTTCATCTTTGGGGGGAGGGTATATCTATATCTGTAGAGTAGTAAGGGTGAGTGTAGGCCCACAGCACTTAGGCCACATGTGATCCATTGTACATACTCCCAAGGAGTCGTTCTCCTAGGTCATTGCATAGAGGTGTATCCACTAGCCCCATAATATGGAGGTGTTTCCTTAGTTGATAGAGGTCAGTCAGAAATTCTAATGTTAAGCGTAGGTTTTTCCTGGTCATCTCCAGATATTTCTTCAGCGCCAGCTTCCCAGGGTGATCCTAGCAAGACTGCATTCTTTGATTCCATCCCATCTCTTTAGGGGTTGAGCATGGGTGTGAGGTTTGGCTAGTTCCACAGTTGTCGAAGTCATCAGGCCTTAGGTGTCACTGGTTCTTAGTCCAGCTCTCCAGGCTTCTCTTTGATTCTGTCTGTAGACTTTTTTGAACTCTCTGCAGTTGGCTTGATATATAGTCCAGTCCTCTTCGAGTCCTGTACGTTGTGCCTTGTTAAAAGTCGTTCTCGCTGTCTTCCTGAGGTGTTCCAGTTCAGGGCACCACTATGTATTGGTTGTGCCATCTGTTTGAACCATTCTCATCGGACAGGATTCCTTATAGGCAATGTCTATTTTATTTTGAGTAGATACCGTGTACCTTTCCAGTTCTTCATTATTGCCAGGAGTCAGGACCTCTGTTTCCCGCAGAGCTCTTTTTAAGAGTTGATTGTAGAGAGCTACATCCGTCCTCTTCGGGTCACGGGCTTTTACAGTGGTCCTGAGATTCTGGCTTACCGTATAGGAATTTTGATCAGCTTCAGAATGTATTCATCTAATGTTTGTCATATATTTTTTCAATAATTCCAATATATGTAACAAATTTGTAACAAAAATTATTATTATTATTATTATTAATAGGTCAACCAGCGGTGGTCTGACATAGAAATATGATCCAACACTTGCCAGTCCTGGATTTTGATAATTTGGCTGTCCTCAGCATGATATCTATTAATGTTTGGCTACGGGCGTTAATAAACGTCGGCTCCATGCTTCTGTTTAAGATTTTTAGATCTTTCTCAATTATATATTCATACAGGGTGTTTCGAATTCGATTCTCACAATTGGGATCTCGGAAACTATGAGAGATATGAAGATGGTTAAATTGGGGCAAATAATATGCCCTTGAGAAAGTTCTGTAATTCCAAGTATATCCGGAAGAAACGGAAATTTCGGAAAATGGGTTTTATTTTTTTCTGGCTTTATTTTTCGAAGGATTCGAAAATAAATTGCACTTCCACATTGCCACTTTTTCCCTGCTACATAATGGTGTAACTTTATCTAAGTTATCATTCTTTTTTGAAAAATTGGTGATATTGAAAAAATTAATTCTGATCATAATAGGCTTTGACTTTGATGTTTCTTAATTTGACAGTTAATTTGTTACACTCAATGACATTTTTTTATTGTACAAGTCATTGAATTTTTGGCGAAAAATGGCTTTCATGAAGAAAAAATAAAATAATAATCTTTATTTGAAATAGGTAATCCTAATCTACATTCACAAAGTATAATCTTATATATAGTAATTAGCAGCTCCTTCGATAGTATTAATATATTTGTTTTGTTTTAAATTTAAACGTACACACTAGGTATTTACATTTCGAGTTATATTTTCCATTGTTTTGCTAAAAGAAAACTATTCAAGTATAGCCAAATACCATAATAATCATATACAATCCTACATATGAACCAATAAAAATGCTATCCCAATATATACATATATTAATACTCGTATTGATACTAAAAATTATTAATCCTGATAGATATACAATACAACGATTTTACTTTTGCTGTATATGGTTTATCATTTTTATTTTAAACTGTTGCAGAGTTTCTGATTTCTTTATATCATCTGGCAAACTGTTGTAAGCAATGAATCCCTTGAACACCAAAGTTTTAAT